AATGAAGTTAAACATTGTTTTTAACCAACATTTTTTGTCTGTAGACGAATAAAATAAGCTCAATAATTATTATTCGAGCAAAATATTTGTATCACTTTTATTGCAGAGAAGATTACGTAAACCAAAGTAACTCATAGAAATATTTATGTAAGCTTTCCAGTCTGATTTGATATCGTAGTTTACAAACCTTATTGAAATTGTGGTAACTATCTAATGTTCATCCGAAAATAATCCAACCACATCAGCGACCGTTGTCTGTGAAAAATATTTGGGAGATAAAATGGCAACGATCCAAAGCCAATAAGCTCTGTATTTAACTAGCCTTCGCTAAGGCCCCGGCCACACGAGGCGGTTTAACCACGCGAAGTTAAGCCGCGCGAAGTTAAGGGCTTCGACAACACATTGAATCAAATGAGAGTGGCCACACGAGGCGAAGTTTAGCCGCATGTGCGGTTGAGCCGCGCCATGTCGTCCCCCGACCGCGCGAAGTTAAGCCGCGTTGGAGGGGATGACACACGTAGTCTTATGAGAGTGGCCACACGATACGGTTCGACCGCGCGGCAGCCGCGCTTATTGGAGATATTCTTCGGACATTTCCAGTGGTTTTTGAGTTTGTTTTGTGTATTTTTTTTACCGGTTGTGTGGTGTTCAAACAATGTTTGATACATATGAACTCCAAACTATGGTTTCGCATGTGCTCGTAAAAGGTTTGGAACACAAAAAATTGTTTTTCCGTTATGAAGGGATGGATTTATGTTAACGTTCCAGGTCACCACACGCTTTTAATGCACAAACTAACATAAGTGTTTCGTCCATGACTAAAAAGGGTGAACTGAACTATGTTTTAATAGAGTACTGATACTGGGAAACCCCAACAGGAAGCGGTTCATCCGCCCCGTGTGGCCAGGCACTTCGCGCGGCTTAACTTCGCGCGAAGATAAGCCGCGCGGCTTAAATTCGCCTCGTGTGGCCGGGGCCTAAGGTGTTGAAACTGTCCCGTTTAGCTTTGCCCGAATTATTGAAAATGGTTTGCCAACTTTTATATAACCTAAACAATATATTATTATTATTAGTAGACCACTGTGAAGAATTAATTTAGCAGTAGATGGGAAATCGTTTTCCCAATACTGTAGCTGTGTTTGGAAAAACGTGTTTTGCGGTAATAGTTTGTGTAGGAGTTTATACACTGAATATTTCCCTTTCATAGTAAACGAGTATAATACCCCTCTCTAGCATATCAGGTTGCATAATCAGGTTGACTAAATAGCAAATACCCTGATTGATAAATAATAATTTTAATCTATTTTAATAATTTAACACGATAAAAATGATGAAATAAAATGCAAGATTGAATTGTAGCTCTAGAATTGACATTGAATAGTGCAAGTAAACTATTTCTTCTCTTGAACAATCTTAAGCTTGTTACGTGTGTTTCTTGTAGCTATGCGTCGTTCGAGTTCGTAATGTTTTTCTCTGTTTGAGATTTTACGATTTGTGCTTTTATATTTGTGTACAAAACCACATAAATAAATAGCTTTATTTTATTTTATTGTTTTAAAACCAGTCAAAAAACTACAAACAAAAATTAGAAAAAAAATCGCCCTTTACATAAACTGGACTAAGCATTGAAGTTTGCTTCAGATTTAAAAAAATTATAAGTACAAAATATATTATTGTATTCTTGCTTCTAGATAGCGCATGATTATGTGTGCATTCAGTCGATGATTAAAGTTACCTTAACTTTTCAATCACTGATGTTAAGGAATTTATTTGAATGTGATATCTGGTAGGAAGACGTATTTATGTTTTTATGCGGCTGAAACCCAAACTCCACTGAACATAAACACTACCAAACAAGCACATATATCATACTAAAGTAGGCCTACCCCATAAAAGGCAATGAGCCATGCAGTTAACACTGTTACATGTGAAACAAACATTCTACACACGTAATGGATGTCTTGAGGATTTGTAAAATATGACACAAACATACATTGAGTAGTGAGAAGTTTTCTTGCTGCGGTTTAGTTTGTCATACAAAATTGCGATACAATTACCAGCAACCACATGTTTAACTTTTATAGTCGGTTTCATATACATTAGTATTTAGATATAATAAACATTTACAATCTATAATCATTGGCGGAAATATCCATATTATTTAGTAAATATTTTACTGGATTGTAATCTTAATATTCGCCTGCAATTTCTGATGGTTTTTAAACATTAAAATATTAAGAAATGAGTGCTAAGTAAGATTTACTACAATATTATAAAACGATTAATTATCGTTTAAACAAAGATATATATACTGTGTATAGTAATGGCAAATCTTCTTAAAATTTCAATACACTCTAATAATCATGTTTCTTACTCTAGGGGTTTCCCCGATCATGTATGACTACAAAATACTAATGATTGCTACAAATTGGCTATCCGGGCGTTACCAATAATGTTCAGGCCGTTAAGACGGTGACACACTATCGATCTTTTCCCCGAACAAGACCCCGAACCGAGCAGGGAGAAGGGAGAAGGGAGGTCGAAGGGAGGATGTTCGATAGTGTGTCACGAGTCCGTACACCGATCAAGACGCCGAACAAGACATCAGGCCGAGCAGGGAGACGAGCGCTCTGGAGGCGGTTTTTTGGCGAAAGATCAAAGAAAAGATCGGTCCGATGTACGATAGTGTGTCACGGTACATTTTTGCCCCGTACATCGTCGCGAGCGCCGCACCGAGCGGCCGCCTGCGCTAGCATTGATAGTTCCGCGCTCTCACTCGCACACACTCTCTATCTCTCCCCAAACTTCCTTTTGCCGCGCTCGGTAGAATTCGTCTGGTCTTGGTCATGTTCGGGGAAATGTTCGGAGTAAAATTTTGCTGATATTTATCTCCCTTCTCCCTTCTCCCTGCTCGGTTCGGGGTCTTGATCGGGGAAAAGATCGATAGTGTGTCACCGCCTTTTTTTTAATCCAACACTTGACTTTCTCTTTCTCCCATTAAAAAATACTACTAACACTTTTCAGAATAATTATTTACTTCAAACATCTCTAAGCGTATCAAATAAAGAAAACACGTGGCTTATATTGGTGGTACGTTTAAGATTGTTTGCGAAAGTAACAAAAAACTCAAATCGAAGATGAAAAGACAATGAAATGGAAACGGGAATCGTGCAACGCCCCAGTGGTTGCTAGGCAACGCGGGATCGATATATAAACAAGCAGAGGCCTAGCCACTCTTCGACGATCCCCGATCCTACAGGAACATAGCTAGGATCACTAGGGAATAGGGTCTGTGATATTCCCTAAGGGATGGGATTTATAAATTGGCTGGATTCCATTGGCCAGGGAAATTCTAAACATTCTAAATTTTGTGGAGGTTATTTGTATTAACTTGACGCAAAAGCTTCCCTTGTATACGTTGACGAATTACCCATAAATGGTAGTTATATATTTAACAAAGAACATTTACGAATTTAATTCGGAATTTGTTGCTAATGCTAAGCATGGAAATGTGTGGGTCTGTCAGGAATTTATACATTTTGATTTTGTATAGATCCATAATCCTTCCGTGAAGTACAACACTTATCAATAAGTGTGTAAACATACATCTTTTTTATTTTGTATGAGCTCCTAAATTTACAACCGCTTAATCCTTAGTCCAGCATCTATACTTATAAAAGGCAAAGCCCTCACTGACTCACTCACTCATCACTAATTCTCCCACTTCCCATCTACCTAGGAGGCTGAAATTCGGTACACCGATTCTTTGGGAATTAAATAGGAAAACTGAGTAGTTTTTATTCTGATCTGACTTTCGGACTCTGCCCCAGTGGCTCTGGAGTTCTCCATGTTAACCTCATGAGTACTCATATTTATATGGAATTAAAGAATCCTAACAGCTGGTTCAACTAAACAATTTGATTCTGTGATGTTCAATAGCATTAAAAAGTTAATAGGTTTACCAACTCAAATCACTATTTTTTTTTATTTATGACAACAGCTAATTTTCAACCATAAGGTGAGTGAGCGTAGCGACCGAACTTCAACTGGAGGCGAGTTAGCATCGCGAACGAGCTAAACCTGAAGACAAGTGAGCGCAGCGAACGAGCTCCATTTTTTATTAAAAAAAGCCCTTGAATAAATGTTTGAAAGCAAAACTACTTTTTCCATTTTTATATAAATTAGGAAATAAATATGACATTAACACAATGTACAATAGATTAGATTGAATGTAATCTTAAGACGTCTTAAACGGGTGGGTACGCTAGTAGTTTATAAACATTAATTTAATTTTATGAAACGGAACGGTTGTTTACAAACCTCACCTAAGGAAATTAGTGACTTGAACATAAGTAATTCAATAAACAACAGTACCGGTAACAGAATAAGCATAAATTTCATGAGAAATTACAATAGAAAAACTTACAACACTCTGATTTAAAAATAATTTAAAATAGACAACATAAGCGTAAAGTCAAAAAATGGAAATAAGAGAATACAACATGTTTTTTTAATATCAAAGCTAGAGAGTGAAAAATTCATTTTAAAGAGAACAAAAGTGTTTAAGGGCTTTTCTTCTAGTAATAAACTGAAGACTGCTGTGGAAGAAATCTACTTGTTGGAAAACATCGTTCATCACTTAATATATTTAGATCGTTTTTATCCTTTTTGTGTATTTTATAGGGTCATCAAAATGCGCGATACAACTAAACCATGATTAAATAGTCACATTTAAGGCTGTCGATTGATAAAAATTAAATAATGATAAAACTAAACTCATCATGAAACTGTTTGGTATTTTTACTACGGAGGGTAAATAAAAAACACTTCTAATAACACTTTAAACATAGGTACATAAATGATGTATGTGTAAAACATATTAAAACAGTATAAGTGTAAATATACGTTTAAAGTGTTATTGGACTTGTTTTTGTGAATGAATAAGTTTACACAATCAACAGAAAGTACTACTTACTATTATTATATTTTTTAATACTTACCAGACTTTATAATCCATTAATCCTGAACACTAAACGGGTATTAATTCATTTTGAAAACTAAAAAATACACGCAAAATCACGCAACGCATGCTAAAAACGCAGAACGTGAGGTCCCGATGAAGGAAAGGCATGTGGACATATCAAAATGTTACGTCAATTGTAAACATGTGTTTTTGACAGACAGAAACAGCTGATCCGATCGCGGCGACCGCACTCTAGCGACTGGCGGCGGAACTAGATGACAAGCAGGCCTGCCACTACAGCAAATGGTAATGGTCGTACCTCTCAGACAAAATTATCGTATAAGAGATTTCTTGTATTGAACCATAAAATGAAAATTTACCTACTTAAATTTTAAAGTGTCACTCAAAATAATTAATATTTTGTACACATCTATGCGAAGGCATAATGTGCATAACAGTTCAGTTCCGGGCTATAGAAGGTTCTACGTTCTACACAAATGAACCTTGTTTGGAGTCGTGCAATTATGACACAATACATTTAGGGGGAAAATACTAACTAGACCACACACAGTATTCTAAATGTGATTATTAAAGTTACTGTATGTGTCTGATTTAAAGATGTGTAAATAAAAATACCCCCGCCGCAGCAAACCTGCCGACTAAGCGAATTTCCATTTGTCTGAATTCATTTTCAACTAAACCTATTTAAATAGCACTAGGTTTAATGAGTACCTAGGTTTGCTGCAACAAGGAAACTAATAAAGTATATTTTTTGTAAAATATTAATAGCTTAGTATAAAATAAATAAATTTGCCAAGTTTGATCAAAATATATCCATAAACAAGCAAACTACAACATTTTACAATATTCTCCATAAGAATAGTATGGGAATTTTACATTTACAATTTTTTGAATTTTCTTCGTTACCAATAACCCGTACAAAAACACTTTGATATACCAAATTATTTGTTTTTAAGCTCTTTAAAAAGGTCTAGAGAGAAATTAGGAAATTTTGTGTTTTGAGGGTCAAAAATGAGAAAAAAAAATTTTCTACCCCATAAAACCCCCGTAAAACCCGGTTCCCATGGTCCGATCATGCTGGTTCGCGAACTCATTCAAGTTTATCCCGCCTTACACCTTTAAACCAAATGTAATCAAAATCGGACAGAAATTACTCAAGTTATCGGACGTATATATATATATATATATAAATCCAAAACAACCACTTCTAAATTAATAATACCTAAATCATCAAACCATCCTTGGCAGAAAAAAATGGCAGCATTCCACTCCATGATTTACAGACTAATAACATTGCCCCTAAACAAAACAAATTTTGAAAAATAAAAGAAGATAATAAAATATATTGCAGCCGAAAATGGAAATAAGGACAATCGTATTGATAATATGATAAAGAACAAAATTAAGAAACAAAAGGAAAAAGAAGAGAAATTGAAAAAATAATACATATATCTCCCTCATAACTCTAAATTAAATAAAGCAATAAGGAAAACCTTATCTAAAACAAATTACAAAGCAACATATAGAACAAAAAACAACGTCTTTAAGATTATAAATTCAAAAGTGTCCAAACATCAACAAATAACTGAAGAATCATCAAAATTTAACAAAATCAATATTTACAAAATTTCCTATACAGACTGTAACAAGTATTATATTGGCCAAACTAGTAGAAGCTTCAAATGTAGATTCCAAGAACATATACAGGCATTTAAATCTAAAAATTCAACGAGTATGAAATCAAACTACGCAGAACACTTACTAAAAACTGTTTTTGGCCTCTGGGGACATCAAAATGAAAAAGTAAATCGGTCCCGGGCCTAGGTATTACCGTGCCACCTACGGTAATAACTACTTCCCTATAATACTAAATGACCTAAAATCGGAGGAGGATTGAATTTACAAATGTAGACATGAATGGTCAGTTTACAGAAATTAATTGCCCAGTAGTTTGATTATTATGATTTGACTCTACTAATCTTAAAATAATACCCCCGCCGCAGCAAACCTGCAGACTAAGCGAATTTCCATTTGACTGATTTGATTTACACTGAAATGTCTACTTAAAAATATAACATTTATTCCCGATTTAAATAGAATTAGTTTAACAAGTACTTAGGTTTGCTGCATCAGGGAGGGTAAAACTGTTTTTTTTTGTAAAATGTTAATAGTTAGTAAGAAATTAAAACGTTTTCCAAATTTGATCAAAATATGTCATAAACAAGCAAACTTCAACAGTTTACTTATTCTCCATAAGAATAACATGGGAATTTTAAATTTACAATTTTTTTGAATTTTCTCCGTAACCATTAGGCGCATAATAACGCTTCAATATACTAAATTATTTGTTTTTTTAAGCTCTACAAAATGGTTTGAAAAGAAATTGTTAAATTTTATGTTTTTTTGGTCAAAAATGGGAAAAACCCATTTTTACCCCATAAAACCCCCCGTAAACCCCCGTTCCCATGGTCCGATCATGCTGGATCGCGAACTCGTTCGAATAAACGTAGGTTTACACGTTTGTACCAAATTTCATCAAAATCGGATCATTTTTGCTCGAGTTATCGTGCTAACGGACACACATATATATATATATATATAAATATATATATAAATATATGAATTTGAACGGATGGTGTTTTTGGCCTCTAGGGACCTCAAAACGAAAAAAAAATCGGTCCCGCGTCCAGGTCTTACCATGAGTACTACGGTAATAGCTTATTCCCTATATGGGAAATTCGCTAAAATGATAACGCTCATTTCTCATTATGTTTAAATTGGATTTAATTTACTTATTTACTAATTTATCAGTTGCAAGAGTAGTTATTGCTTTGGCTTTATATACTAGCTCAGAGTAGTAATACATAATACTATTACGGTACTCTAAAATACTAGCATATAATTATTATATACAGTACTACTATATTGTTATTATAAATAGTCAATGGTGGTTACTGGCAGCGGCAGCGCACTCTGTTGGCATTAACTACTGTCTACTTTTACCGACCGTAGCCAAATGTGATAAAATTGAAAGTAGGAGATCTACTGTCACTTGACACTTACTACTGTACAAGCAATCTATAATCAATTCTTATTCTGGCTATGAGAATTATGATGATACAATATGTGGTCTTGTGTGTCTATTTCTGATCCCGCTCACATGAGTTTTTTTCTTTCATTTTTTTTTCATTTTTCATACCCTATATCATACCTACATCAAATACGTACTACAATTCTAAATGCGCAACTGGTAAGGTTATAGTTTACCAAAGCCAAAGCTAGTTTCTTCTAGCTGCAACTACCGTAGAATAGGTTTATTTCATCCATACTACTATTATACTCTATGGGTGTACCAAGAGCTGCGGCAGGCTGGTGGTGATGAGAATCGCTTCCAACCGAAGACCCGAGTATGCTGGAGAGGCCTGGTTGCTGCCCTATGTTTCTTGGAAAAATATCATGCAAGTTAAATCATTGGGCTTTAAATAAAATGATCCTGACTAATGAAACCGCTGATCTTAGTCAGTAACAAAGCTACACACTAGGTCATCACACACCATTCTACACTCATCCTTCACTCATATTTGGGTTAAAATACGCACCTATTTTTTATAGGTGGCGTCACTGTCACTATAACAATACTACCGATTCGTCAAACTGTTTACAATAAGGTTTCTTAGTTAACTGCATTCTACTAAAAATCGATACATACAACGGTTTACAATCGAAATTCAAAACTGAGTTGACAACAGCTGATTTTTACTCAAGGGGTTAAAAACTATTTTTCTCCTTATAGAGTAAAAATGCTACTTTAGACTCGCAACGCATGCATTAAAAACTGCTTTTCCTGCAGTATGACGAAAAATAGAATTAATTTTAGACAACTAAAATACAGATTGTCGGTAAAGCAGCACGTAGTTCATTCTAAGGGCAACAGGATGCGCACGGTACTGTTGTTGGCAAGCTATTTTATGAACAGCTACAGTATAAAGCTAATTATTTTGTTAACATCCTACTCAATTTTCACTATAAATATAATTTAGGCATTGTTGCATGCCAAAAACTTGTTTGTGCATATTTTTTTATGAAATAAGGCAATCATTTTTTATTTTCCATTAGCATTCATTCCCTGTAGCAGCAAGCCTATGCTTATAAACATAATAGTTTCTAAATGAAAAATATATCTGACATGATTAAGGAAATATTATTTGATCTTCTTGGATGTCTTCAACACGTTAGGAAAAGAAATATAAAAAAAAACTGATCATAAAATAAAAGCAATATTAGTTTGTATACAATACTTACTTTTTGGCTATGATTACAGTAACATGTCTCACACTGCTTACACTTAACAAAACTCATATTTTTTTAAGGCAAAACAAACAAAAATTAAAACAATTGAAGTAATAAAAATATTTGCATGTAAAGAATTAATTAGAACGCCTTCGCAAATGAAACGCAACTACAACGCGCTCCGGTATTGAGGGTATTGCATTGACTTTATGCTGGCGTTTTTATTTTTTTTCTCGTCTCGAAAAATTCTCGATTAAAATAAAATCTTGTCTGGTAGGACAAGATTAAAATTTTCCCGAAATTTCAAGAATTGTCTATCCCTAGTAACATTTCTAAATAACAAATTTACAAAGTTATAAGTTAATTCTACTTCATATTTCATTTTTATACATATATAGTTTATTATTGTAATTTCATCTAAATGTACTTAACAGAATATATTTTTTATTTTAAACTATCCATCTGTTAGATTTTAAAATTTATTATTGTAAACGGTAAGCATAACCTTCATTCAGTTTTGTGATGTACTTAATGATGGCAGCATAACTGGCGAAAGGCTTCACGAAATTAAAAATGCATTTAATATTGGTGTTGTTTTTATTTTGAATTGTATTGTAAATTTCGATAAATGTTTAGTTTGATAAATGTGTAGTTCGATAAATGTGTAGTTCTATAGATGTGTAGTTCGATAAATGTGTAGTTAGATAAATGTCTATATCGATAAATGTGTAGTTCGATGTATGTGTATTTTGATGCATATGAGTGGTTCGATATATATTTACAATGAGACCGACATCACGTGCGAGGTTAGGGCAGGTCAGGGTAGAGCCGATCAATACACTCTCGCCCCCCCCCCCCCCCACCACCACCCCCAAAACCCCTACAAAACCAAAACATCAAGTTCAACAACTTGTCCGGATCTTGGACCTTGGCTTATATTTCCACTCTCCACAACCCACAGACATACTATTGTTTTCTATTTTGAGATCGTCCCCACCATCTCTAAACAGAATTATAATACTGTATGTAGGCCCTATAGCATAAAATCCGTTGCAGCTAGACTAGTGGTTGCTTTATGTTTTTTGTAGCTACCGGTACCTATTGTGACTCCTATGCGAACTTGGGGTATTTGTTTAAAACATCAAAATTGACAATGTTTATAATTGATTGTTCCTCAAGTTGACCTTTTTAAAATAAAGGAAATAATTTTAACATATTCATATAAAACTTAATCAAATTAAATATATGATTTCTGTAATGTAAATAAATAATTTGAAACCAAATAATTAAAGAGATATACAGCATCTAATCAGAATTGGTGTGGTATACAAGATCTGATGGGCTTTACAAACTAACAAACAAATACTTTATTTCGCTTATTTCAAAAGGTCTTTTTGTGTGTTTTTTTTATGAAAAACAATTTATTAATTTATTTTTATATACAACTTCATAATGTTTAATTTTAATAATATTTGCAACAACCACAAATGTACAAAAATCTTTTAAAATTTATAACGGTGTAATAAACCCTGGGAGAGTTCGGCTGACTCGTATAAGAATCGTTAGGTATAAAGTGGCTCTTGACTTCGGTGTTTGTAGCTATTTCATTGCAGGTGTTGCTGGGACTTGGTGCGGATGTAGTTATGGTATTTTCTTGATCTTCTGTCTCTTCTATTTCTCCATTTTCTGGTCCACGGTTATTAACGGTTATCAGATGTTGATGTATGATGTAAAATAGCAGGGTTTATAGGAGGAGTCAGCATTGACGGGATGTTTGAGTTTCCACGTTCGTATTGTCCCAACTCAGCCTGGAATAAAACTTTGCTTATCTCAAATTTAGCATATGCAGCAGAGACATTGCTTAACTTGCGCAAGGTCATTGCAACTGTCTCTCCATAAGAGTCAAATTCATCTCGGTTAGCGTTATTTGCTTCTACTCTCTTCATGACCGCATACGCCACCTCGGACATCTTATCTATCTTCCTCTTTGAGCCCCTAGCTCTATCAGAAACTGCAGTTGACTTTAAACGAGAATCTGTCATAGGTCCACCTTCTGATGTAGAATTGACAGAAACAGATGGGGATGGTAAACGCTCTGGTGTTCCGGTTTGAGGATAAACTAATTCACCATTTTCTGTTCCCGGAAGTACTTTGTCAACCTAAAAACAAAACCTCTGTTAGTGTGATAAATTAATAATAATGATAAATTGTCTCACAAATTCATTACATATATTTATAAATACCATTACTACTTTCTTTGACTTAGACATTCCATCCCCATGTTAAGTTAAATTTGTAGGTAGCCAGTTTTGAACCAAAATCATCGTAGTTGATGTGAGCCACTGACAGATTGTGCTTATCTAAATTACTGATTTCTGACGAATACACAATATTTATTAACAATTCAAACTAATGAAATGACTTCTTGTGAGCTATAGCAACTATTATGACCCATCAACTTGGACAGCAACAAAAAATAATTTATAAATAAAAAACTTTTTTAAAACAACACGTTTTTAAACGCACTAAAAAGTATAAAATAATTTATTAATATGTGGAGAGTATAAATACTTGTAAGATTTAAAACGAAAAACGTAGGGTGCATGCAATAGATAATTTACAATTACCTTAACTTATTGATTACCGACCCATCCAGACCACGCCATATTACCATCAATGAACCATAGATTCGTAATTTTAACCTTCGTTATACGGCCACTTATGAATCTCTCCGACAAAAACTTATTGCATTTTTGGATTCAGCGTGAATAATACGAGAACTAGACATCTAAAAATTACACGATATCGCATTGTACATATATCAAAAATTTGCCATTATCTTTTCTGCTCTAGTGAAAAAATGCTAGTGAGGAAAATGGTCTTTTCTGCTCTAGTAAGGAAAATGTTCTTTACTGCACTAGCAAGGAATTTCTGCACTAGTGAGGAAAAGTGTCTTTTCTGCACTAGTGAGGAAACGTGTCTTTTCTGCACTAGTGAGGTAAAGTTTCTTTTCTGCACTAGTGAGGAAACGTTTCTTTTCTGCACTAGTGAGGTAAAGTGTCTTTTCTGCACTAGTGAGGAAAAGTTTCTTTTTTGCAATAGTGAGGAAAAGTGTCTTTTCTGCACTAAAAGTCCATTTTCTTTTAAAAATCTTGTTATTACATATTGTATTTCTGATTTTGCTCTCATGGCGTCTCGTATGGTTTTGTCTGTTTAGTTTCAAATGTAAACAACTGACAGCTGTTTCCAATCCTCAAAACTTCCACCCCCCTTGTTAGTCGCTACTAGAACTTGGACTCGTCCATACCACAAATATGTTAATAAATCAACAAAACTTAAGCTTAATATTAATTATTTAACTGTACGGCCACTTAGGAATCTCTCCGACTAAAACTGATTGCATTTTTGGATTCAGCGTGAAAAAAACTGTAAGTAGACATCTAAAAATTGCAAGATATCGCATCTTTCCGCACTAGAGCAGGAATGACAATTTTCCTCTTTTCCTCACTAGTGCAGAAAAGGTAATTTTCCTCACTAGTGCAGAAAAGACAATTTTCCTCACTAGTGCAGAAAATACTTTTTCCTCACTTGTGCAGGAAAGACACTTTCCTCACTTGTGCAGAAAAGACATTTTTCCTCACTAGTGCAGAAAAGACACTTTTCCTCACTAGAGCAGAAAAGACCATTTTCCTCACTAGTGCAGAAAAGACACTTTTCCTCACTAGTGCAGAAACAATTTTGAACTCAGAAAGTTCAAACGAAAAAGAGGTAGAAGAAGTGCAGGATAAAGGAAGTTTAAATGGAAAAGTTGTAAATAAAGTTAAATTTAGAAAACGAGGAAAACAAATTAAGTTACCAAAAAGACTGAACTTTTAATATGATAATATGTTTTGAGTCTTTAAATTAATGGACTCATAAGACTTAAAAGGTAGTAGAATGTTGCAAATGGACTGTGTATAGATGATTTTTATATTAATTAATTCATCAGATGTTTTTGTTTAACATTTTGCAATTAGTGTTTTCCTTTTGATTGATTGTTAAGAGTTGGTCTTGAATAGTTATGTCTGATAAAAATTGGTAGATATTTTGTACTATGTTTTCTTGAGTTTATTTATTTTTTTATTTTTTTTTTTTAGGGAGAGGAGGGAAAATGCTTTTACGCACACAGGTAGCCAGCCTGTAGTGTGAGACTCCTGAAAATTGTCAGACTACTCACTAAAAAACCCCCTCTACTCTGTTGGAAACAGACCTGGAATTGTTTGTCACATTACTTCAAGTCAGGCCAACATGTGACCTAAGCCCTCAGGGCTCGCACCGTTTCTGGCATTTCGATTCTTAATGACCTACAACCGCATCCCGGTCAAGGTCGATCTTCTTGGCGCGGAGAATACCCTGGATATATTGTGACACACAGGTCCAATTGTCCTCACCCTCCGTCATAATCGGTATGACCGTGTCCACCGACAGCAGTCCTATTAATTGTTGAGCCTCCAGGCGGGGCCTTTCCCAGCGCTGGCAGTGGAAAAATGTATGTTCCACGTCATCGAGAATGCCTGGGCAGTATATGCAGTCGGGTGACACGGCTTTGCCCATCCTGAACAGGTACGACCGGAAAAAGCCGTGTCCCGTCAGAAATTGGGTGAGGTAGAAGTCCACCTCTCCGTACCGCCGATCAACCCAAGGTTGGACTTGCTGTATCAGTCGCCTGGTCCAGAGTCCCCGTGTCTCCTGTTCCCAGCCCTCCTGCCACAGCTGGTAGGTGCGGGTGCGTTCCTCTGTTCGTGCCTCGTCCTCCCCACGGCGCCGGTAAATTGCCTTTCTCTCCGCCGCCAAAAGTTTGACGGGGATGACTCCAGCAATCACCAGGACGGCGGGCTCGGACACTGTTCGGTAGGCAGATGCTACCCTCAGTGCTGCCTGACGCTGCACTCGGGCGAGCCGCATCCACTTCTTGAGTTTATTAAAGTATATCCCAGTAGAACCATTTTACCAGTAGGCATTACTTATTCCTTTTAGAAGAATCAGTATCGCGTTTTAACAAGCCCTATTCTTAAACTCAACAAGGGAATACACTGTTTTAAATGCGGTAACAAGAGACATGCAAATCACGAGGATTGCCCTGCTCTGGGTGCTGTTTGTAAAGCTTGTATTGGTAATAATCATTTTTCTCGTGCATATTTGAAGGCAGGAAATGCGGTTGTTGCTAGACCAAAACAGTTAAATCAAATCGAAAATTCTTTGGATGAGGATAACGCTCCGTATTCAGACATTGACCAAATACGAACTTTGGAAAAGGGTTCCAAAGTAATGATCAATGTTTAAATGAACAAACGTAAGGTAAAAATGCTTTACGATCCAGGGGCAGCTTACAGCATTATTGGAGAAAAACTGTGGAAATCGATTGGATCACCAACACTTTACCCCTGTGAAAATCTTACTGCCTACACGGGGGTACAAATTGAAACACTAGGCGAAACATCGGTTGGTGTTCTTGCATTTCGTAGTTCAAAAAAATTAAAGCTTATAGTAGTCAAGAAAAATGATGTTCCTCTATCTGGGTTGGACTGGGTACTTAAGTTCAATCTTCCTTTACCACCAGGTGTTGAAGTATGTACATTTACTCGGCAACCGAACAATACCACTCGTGTGAATAGTATGGATTTGGTAAGACAAATTGTTACTGACGTTCCAGAAGTGTTTCATCCTTCTCAAGGCACAATCAAAAACAGTAACGTAGTATTCCACTTGACCCAAGACGCAGTTCCAGTTATTTCAAAACCACGTCCTGTACCCTTTTCCTTACGCAAAGCTGTGGAAGACGACTGCAACGGTTAGTTGAAAACCAAGTCTTGACGCCAGTGAATACGAGTGAGGAGCCTGTTACATGGTCTTCACCTATAGTGATTGTTGTAAAACCTTCTGGAGCAATACGCATATGTGCTGACTTTAAAAACTCGATCAACAAGTATATGATTTCAGACGACTACCCTATGCCCAGATTAGAAGAAATTACAGCGAAACTTACTGGAGGACAAGAGTTCACAGTCATCGATCTCAAGGATGCTTACTTACAGATGGAAGTTGACACTTGCGTACAAAAATATTTAACTACTAGAGAACCCGTGCGGCTCAATGAGCCGCATAGTATAAAACATAACGCCGAGGAAAACGTTATGCTTAAATTAGAGTAATTCTAGTAACATCTTAGAGTTGTTTAAACACTTGTTAGAAACTAATTTGTATTTGCGTCGTCAAGGTTCACCTACATCTGCTTTGAATAGGCTAAGGCAGCAACACCATTGAAAGTTGGTTAACGTATTTCTACATATAAAAACATAAGGTCCGCCAATATTTGGTTTAATCTTACAACTTGTACTTATCATAGTCAATTCATTATTATAGTTTCTCATAAATCTTTTGAAATATCTCGATCTGTCAGTGTCAGAAGTAAACATTTCTTGCATGCATTAATTTGATCTGACATTACGCAAGTTTACTTTACCACAGTAACAACACTCTGTGCTTCGTATATTTTTTCACTTCCAAAGTCAGTTGCATAACAGAGCTGGAAAATATTATTCATCTCACCAAGTGAATGTGTATCCCTGGATGTGTATCTGTTAGACCAGGCCTCTCTTTTTCTACTCTCCTCATACGCACAAGATATCTTAATTACTAATTGTGTCCTCCTCCCGTGTTAAATATTTCTTCTTTGAACTTGAGGCATTTTCTGTTCTTCCAACAAAACTGATTAACTGTTTAACTTGGTCTTAACCTACTGAATATACAAACATAAATATTTACTCCCAAAAAGCTAATGAGTATCTTTTTATAAACAGCTGTTTTTTGTTTTTAAATTTGTTCCATGTATTTCTTATGGGGAAACCCCGACCTTTGAGAAGGCCTCACACCTTTAAGAGTAGGAATTTTAAAATTCTAAAACCTTATTGCAAAACTACATATTGAGACGAATCTTTTGACACCTTAAACGTTGAAATTGGTCCACAAATAAGGGAGGAGTTGCGTTAACAAAAAACGGCTTCACGTATTATATATATAGATTTCCACACACAAAGGGTATATCAGATATTCCCGTCTTCCTTTTGGGATTAAAATCGCTTCAGGGGCATTTCAGTGTAAAATGGATCAAGTACTGGCGGACTTGGAGGGAGTTGCATGTCTTCTCGATGATGTGATAATCACAGCTCCCACACGAGAGGAACACATACGTCGTGTTAGAGAGGTGCTAAAACGTTTTACAGATATGGGTACCGCGCACAAATGTCAAAAACATCGATGTTTGACATAGGTACTGTACATCGTGTTATATACTTCGATGGTGTACTGTACTTCACTTCATACTGGTCGATACTTTTTTTATTTTATCTAGGTCTAAGTTCATCCGCATCGCTCTACCCTCACAAAGTTCAGCAATAAACTTAACGTTGTATTTGTTTACAATTTTTTGCGTTTACTCACCTCAATCGTTGCTAGCCCAGGCTTCCGAGCTTTTCTTGGGGTGTATGTATCCTTCAATAACATAAGACGGTCAAACGCGAACCACTTCACTTTTCTATCAGCACCGGATCCAATCTTTCGCTTTCTATATTCGCGTTGTAACTGCCCTATGACATACCTAATCTTGAGTTTTACTCAGTTTTGGGCAATTTCAGAACAGAAGCAATTTCAGACCATGCGCAGTTCATTAGATCTTTGTCCTTGAACTCAGGGTGAGTTGGGTCCCACAACACTGGACGATCACGGTAAAGTTCTATCAATTGTATAACTCGATCCTGGCTCCACTCCATACTCGCCGCGTTGTCCTCTTCCATCACAACTACTGTATTCACTTCACTCTTCAATCAACAAAACGCACAATAATATACTCTATAATATACATAAACGACGCGAAACTCTTTCAACCTAATTTCAAACTCACGTAGCTTCTACTTCGACTACGTACGTAGGCTACTGACTCTGACTGACGACTGACTAGTGACTAGTGGTATTTGGCGCGCGAGACACGACACAGGAGGCTTTTGTCGCAGCGACAGGAGTCCGTGACATGTTGTCGCCGTCGGTGACAACAAGACCCAAAAACCAAAACTCGTGTCTGTGATTGACACAGTATTTAAGTAGCTGACAAGTGTCACTGACACAATGTTGATGTTGGCAAACCTGGTCTGCATAAGTTGGTCAGGGATTATTACGCTTCGACTTTTAATGTTATACGGGAGTTAATTGTCAGCGTCGTGTATTACCAGTCAGTGACGGTGTTAAGTTGAGCGATGGTGAGTTAGTTTCTACCATAGGCGGAGTCAGATGTTCGTAAGTAAATGAATGTGGGACTCACTAAGTTTTTGTGATTGTGAACTACTTAAACAATGAAGGAGCCGTGGAATGGCAGGATAGATACGTGCATTAGGACTATTGGAAATTTGTAAACCGAAAGAAATGTAATATTTTACTGTTTAATACAAAAGAAAATAAATGCATGTGTGGTATATTTAAAAACTATAATGCTAATTTAATTACATGCGTACCTGATCACTTCCCTCTAGGTTTGATACTCCTTCAATTGCCTCCTCCTGGTCCAACAAGAAGATCAGCTCATTGAAATACCACAATTTAGGGATATATACATCTTCAATTCCCATCCCAGATTTTTGAGACGATTTTACTTTTTTCAACTCTTTTCTAAACGCACTTCTTAAATTATTTATTTTTTTAACCACAGTGTCCTTTGTGGCTCTTGGGTCCGCCTTCTTCACAACATCCAATAATTCTTGATAGGCTGCTTCCCTCATTTCCCTGTTGTGGTACTCTTTAATTTTTATTTTCCAGATGCATTCGTGACCTCGGTATTTCTCAATGAATTCTAGTATCAAGTCTCTTGACCAGGTAGACATGATTAATGTGGAGTACTAACGAAATCACTACACAACACTACAACGCCAAAATGCGAAAACTATACCAACAAAACAACAAACAACACAGCTCCGATTATGCTTTCACCAGTAGTTGACTCACAATGAAGAAAGGATGCGATGCGAATGCGATAATGCTTAAAATGTATAGGGGAGGGGGAAGGCGGCCTTGAGGCCCGGCCGGCTGTGTTTCCCGTCCGGCCGTCCGGTCAACGATCTGCCTGAAGGAATCGATACACTACACACGTTCAGTTTTTCCTTCAGTCCAGGACTGCTGTTGGTCCGGGACTGAAGGAAAACCGGAACGTGTATGGTAGCCCAGAGTCGAGCTCTACAGGCCGGCAAGGGGGGGCCACCAGTTGACCGACAAGATACTTGGTCGTCTTGCCACTAGACCGTCTTTTTTAATTAAATAGATAATTACTGAAAACCAGTACGTCGACAAGTTATTTCATCGTCAGTCCAGTTGACCGGCCTGTAAATCTAAATTATTATACACGAGAAACCAACTTGTCGTCAATCCTCCCGACCGACTTACCACTTGCTCGTCTTTTAGGTGGGGATGTGTTGAGCGGCAGTGCCAGCGGCGCGCGCAGCTGTGGAGGGCCCTGCAGGCGTACCAACTTCTGTATCTTGTAGCGGCGGTTTTCATTCCGACGATTTTCAGCTATCACAATGCAGCGGACTAGTGAGGTTTTTATTACGTGTAATTGTTTGTTTCTCAATCGATATTTTGTTATACACAGTACAGTGAATATAAATAGGCCTATATTAGTTTACTTCAATGAAATAAATGTTTTATTTAACTAAATAAATAAAAATACGCCGATTGAACAAATAAAATTGTTACAGACAACAGGAAGTCCTTAATATGATCAAAAAAGTGTTTATCTTTATTAAAAAAATTACTGAAATTTGTAAACTTACTGCTGGCGACAAGGGTGGTGCCATGCATAGGTTTATCAATAAATAAGATAAACATGGACAACCTTATGCAGCTATAAGTCAGGAAACATTTGTAGAAACATTAAAATGCAATACCAATTTATGAAATATGATAAAATATTTACAGGAAATGTTGATTACTGTATATACATCGTGAGTATCTCCAGCAGTTACACACTGGTGATCTTTGAGTTGACTCTTTTAAACTCATTGAATATTACTTTTTTTCGTTTTGAAATAAATTCTGTAATACTTTGAAATTGCTCGAATTTGAGCAACATGTACACGAGTTTGTATATTAAATTAACTAACATATTTATGTAATAGGAGGGTCAAATATTGTGAACAGTGGTGAGGTAACTACCGTTACATTTATTCAATTGAGAGATAAATACAAATTGATAATACCGGTTATTTAAAGCTTTGTTGTCTATTTTTACCTCTCTTAAAAAAATAAAATAAAGAATGAATTTAGACTTTTGGTGACATTAGTTTGTACTATTTCTCCTTAAATGACACTGCTGTCTTGGTAAGCAATAGTTATCTCGGTAAACTATTTATTTGCTGAAGTGCACAGTGTGCTACTTAGCCTGAGAAACATCTTATGTTTTATGATTTTGTTGTAGGCCTATTGAAAACCTTGTCTAGAAGGAATTCCCATTGCCTGTGTTACCGGGGAGAAGTTTTTCTTAGTAAAGTCTTTAGACGTCTTCGGTTTTACACAGAAACATGTAATTATAATTGAAGAAGTACATGTTTTATCCTCTCACGTAGTTGCATGGACAATACTTATTCAATTCTGTGTACTTCAATTGTCTAACTGGCCCTAACTGACGCATCCTTGTTCTTTTTTTTACTAAATAATGTAGTCTTTACTTCCGTAGATCTTTGCGTTTTATTGTGTAACTGTTCTCAAGTAAGTCTGTGTTCTGAGTAAGTACTTCAAATGCACGGCACTACTGTATATTCAGATTTTCTAATGAACTAATATAAGGATAAAAGGAGTATAGACATGTATGTATGACAGAGTATGTCTACTCCTTTTGGGGACACCGAAACTGCCACGACGTTTTACGACCATGCTCCATACTGAAACTGCCACGGCAATTAGTGAGGATTATAAGGGTGTTTTTGAGAGGGCTAGAAACACTGAAACTGCCACGGCGGATTCCTCAGGTAGACGGGGAGAAACGGGAGACTTAAAATTCCCATTTCTGTCTTAACCTTTTAATTTCTTTCACAATAATACGTTGATTGGAAAAATAAGTGATTGATTTGCCCTTTCGTATTTATATTTTAGGATTTATTTTTATGTTAATATAAGTTTTTAGTGTTGCGACTGTTAGAGTATTTACTTTATAAGTATTTATTCCGTCTCTTGAGAATATATTTACTTTATAATTATTCTGAAATATAATTATTCTGAATAATTATTTACCACTAAGGAACAAGTTTCATGTTCATTTACCACTTATATAACACTGCATTTTATATGATCTGTTCGACGCTTTTAATTACACTAGAGGTGATCAAATACTAATATAATACTGTAAAACTGTAATATTCAAAAATAGTTTTATTCGCCCAAGACGCTAGGTTGCAGAACTACAAATACTGTACCAACCTCCATGGTCTGCAGAGGGGCGTTCTCGTGAAATCTCAGTGGAATGCCCTCCTATTAGCTTGACTCATGTAATATTTTTAAAATTCGGTATTTCTCAACAGTTTTGTGCCATCCTTCAGAGAGTTAGTAGTAAGGGTGTTGGTGTGTTAGTTATACTTAGTTGATAGTCTTTCGATGGAGGATAAGATATTTGAAACGAAGAGAAAGGGTGCGGCGTTGTTAGTAGACGGCTACAGTTTTGTTATACAAAGTGTGGTGTTAGTAAGTGGGTTTGCTAGAGAAAAAATCGGGGAGGATGTCGCGCAAAATGCTTCACAGATTATATATAACAACGAGTAACAGTAACTGAAACGATTTTAACGCTTACCATTCTTCAGTCACTGTAGTGGGTTGAGTTTAGATAGGGACCTCTAGCTTTTGTCGATATTCTTTCTTCGATATATATTTCTTCGACTAATGGCCTATTAATATGAGGTGTCACTCGATGTGGCCACCAAAATAACCCATTTTGGGTTTAAGAACAAAATTTGAATACAACAAAAAGTTCACTTGCGTGAGATAGAGACGTGTACAGAGTTTTGTTTTCTTGACGTAACCCTTTAAAAGGTTAACTGGTGATGTCCATACTTTTGCCCAGCCCTGTAAATGTGAATAAACAAAATTTATAATTGAGGTATATTACTAAATAAATATGCAAAAACACACACTGAGTCTCATTTCATTCTGATTAAACATGAGAAAATGGGAAGCAAATTCGTGTTGATTTCCTACCGGGCGTAACATCCGTGAAGATTTTCTGTGATCATAGAAACGACCGAGATTATTACTTGCGATCACGGAAACGCCTAAAAATGGAGAATCGTCGTAAGAAACTTTAACAAACATCCGTGATCGTATGTTACGATCGTGGCCAAATCCGTGATAATTTCTAGTGATTCACCGCAGAAATAACTGTGATGGTAAACTACGACAGCAATGATGATGACCGGTGATGATTTCACAATTGCGGCAACATTAGCATTCATCTCCAGCGATTATTTTAACACCCGTAACCATTTTTCGCGATCGACGAAAAATTAATGATCATCTTGCCCTTGCGGCTTAGTGTGTGATGATTTATCGATATTGCGGCAATGTCCGTGGTCATTTCTACAGTAGTTTCTCGCAATGGCGTTTTTCGATTGCGCAATACGTGTAAACTCTGGGTTTTCGGGTGGATTTTACGGCAAATATTTTACCATTTTTATTTCTCGATTTCTTACTAAATTCAATTACAACTCATGGACTTTTTCCTGATAGTTAAAATTCACGCGCTATTCCCGGTTTCTAGGTTGGCAGAATTAAGTGACCCTGAATTATCACTACAAGTAGCCTAGGCTAATTAAGATTTATTTTTTACCAACCGTATCTAAAATGTATACTTATCAATTATGAAGTTTTTATCTGGTATTATTAATGTAAACCTGCACATTATTCGAACTTAATTGACTAGACCATACCTTACTACTAACTCTCTGAAGGATGGCACAAAACTGTTGAGAAATACCGAATTTGAAAAATATTACATCAAGCTAATAGGAGGGCATTCCACTGAGATTCCACGAGAACGCCCCTCTGCAGACCATGGAGGTTGGTACAGTATAAACTTAATAAACTGGAAAGACTCGAACTTAATTCTGTGTATTCTAGTCATCACAAAGGATCTTATACTTCGACGCCAATTCCTAAGACAAATGGAACGCAGTGCGCGCAGTATTTCCAACTCATTGCTGAAAAGCATGTTTTCATAGTATTCCCAGCTCATTTCTAAATACATTACCTCCACCGCAGCCCAAAAAATCAAAATATTAATAGTATAGGATGAAATCAATAAAATCGCCAAATATGATCAATATATACACAATTGTGTTTTATTTATACTTCAGGACACGTATCCTGTTGTGCTATTATTTGCATTAGATTATGTTTCTTCTTGTGCAATTTTGACGATGCCTACCTATACCTTGGTATATTTATAAACTGAAAACTTCAAATCTAATGATAAAATATGTGTTTATCGATTTCTTTAATACCAGCAATTCACTATAACAGGTTAAGAGCATTCATATAATACATTTAGTAAGAAACATTTTACATTCCATTGCAATCTTAATCCATTAGAACATATTATTTAATTATTTCTGACTTCATCGGTAGTTAAATGACTTTTTCTATTGATACTTGATTTAAATAACTGCAAAGTTAGTATGGCCTCTTTTAAGTAGTGGCATGAAAAGCATTTAACTAAGTTATGAGCTAAGTAAAGTGTTGTGTTTCAAAATCGTCACTGTGATGAGTGAGGGATATTCTCATTCCCGTTTCTCCCTGCACGTTGCCAAACCAACCTCCCTTCCTGAGGAATCCGCCGTGGCAGTTTCAGTGTTTCTAGCATTCTCAAAAACACCCTTATAATCCTCACTAATTGGCGTGGCAGTTTCGGTATGGATTATGATCATAAAACGTCGTGGCAGTTTCGGTACAGC